AAAAAAAGTTAAAATTTTTTACCAAGAATTTTATTTTTGACTATTTAATAAATTTATGTTTTCCTAAAACTTAAAAGTTTTGCATTTTTTCTAAACTCTTACAATACATAATTTTCATAATAAATATTGAAATTATATTGAATGTGAATGTGCTTGTAATTGCATTTTTTTGGTGTGCCCGCAACAGCAGCCAGACGCAATTTTTCATGTTTGTACATATGTATGATCATTTTATTTGTTTTTGTTGTTGGAAACAGTGTGATTTGAGTTGCTGCAACAACAGACACAGAGTTTACAAATGCAATTGATAGTACGCACAGAGTGTGTAGGCGTGGCAGTGCGAGTGACATTGAGTGGACAGTTGTCATGTTAGTTGCAAGTTTTTTTTTACAGTTATGCAACTTTTATTTTTTTCCATTTTTTCAATAGCAGCCTGCAATAGCTTATGGGTTGGCTACTTTTGGGTCGAGTGGGGTTTCAAGGTAAAGGCAAATTGTTGCAATAAAGCAAAAAAAGCAAAAAACAAAAACATAAAAAGGCGAAAATAAAAATAGAAAAAATCAACAACAAAAATCGAAAAAAAGCAACCGGCTAAAAAAGCTTGCAATAAAAAATCAGAAAATAAATGCTTACAATAACAATATGCTGCGTAAGAAACTGGAAACTTTTGTTTATAAGCTGTCAAACAACTGCTAGACAACAGCGTCGGCTTTCAAAAGTGGCCCAAAATGGCCGCTGTGGCATTGGATTTGACGCTACAATGGAGCAAAACTTATGAAGGTCAGCTGTCATATTTACTGAATGAGTGCAAGGTCAATACACAGGTGCAATTGACATTATACGCCTATACAAGAGAAAAATTGTGTGTGAAATTTAGTGTGTGTGTGTGTGTATACAGGGGCAATTGTGCAGTCAAAAATTGCAGGCTTTAAATGCCTACTTTTAGGCAAGTAAGCCGATTTAAACTGCATGAAATGTTAATGGCAAATAGATAGATTAATTTGTCTGGGTGATACATGCCGTATACGAAACTTTTTGTAGTTAGTGGGATGACTTGCCGTATGAGTGTTCTAAAATTGAGAGAAATGTACTTACAATGAAAATAAGCAAATAATGAAATAATATTGGAGGTAAATATAGAAATTCGAAATGGACTCGTATCAAAAAAGAGTTTCGAAATATTAAATTGTTTTAAAGTTTTTTTATTAATATATACAATATACAGCTTGAACAATTTTTTATGCAGTTTGAAAATGTTTTCACATTTTTTTTCAAAATATTAATTTATTTTATAAAGTTTGAAAATTTTCTCAATATTAAAATTTTTTTTTAAATTTTATTTATATTTGTTTTCTTGTAAAAAGAATTTAGAAAATAATATAATAACAATTTAAACTTTAAATGTTTTTAATTTTAAATAACGTGACTTAATGTTTAAATTCAAAACTCTAAAATTTTCAAAATATTTCATTTTTTTATTATACAATTATATTTTGTATTTTAGCTACTTGACTGTTTTTCAGTTATCCATAAAAGAAAATTATAATTTATAAAAAATCTTTAAAATATTTTTAGTATTTTAATTTTTTTAACTTTTAAATAATTTTTGAATTTTTTAATATATATAGAAATTTCCAAATTTAAAGCAATTACAAAAATTGCATTGATTTAATTTTTTAATTAAATATTTTAATATAAATTAATTTAATTTTTTTAAATAATTAATCTAAGAAAATGTTTAAGTCTAAAAAAAAAATTTATGAAGTTACGATTTGTAAACTTAAATCAATTTAAAAAAAATCGAGTATATAAAAAAAAATTATTTAAAACAAATTAATTTAGTTTCAATACAAAATAATTTAATTTTCTTAAAATAAGTAATTAATAATATTTTTTATAAATAATAAAAAAAAATGAACATATTCAGCTTTGCAAAAAGTACAAAATGAAAATTGTGTAAAAACGATAAGAACTCTAGATAAAAAATTATCAGAACTTTTCAACTGACATTCAGTCAAATCTAATATTAAAAATAACGCAGGGTTAAAATATGGACAAGTAGTGTCATGTCATGGCGTATGAGCAACATTTTAGTAAAATTCATGAATATAAAAATTTAATATATACACATTAAAAATTCATTAAACCTGTAATTTATGCCTAAAATAAGGTCATTACATGCCTTGAAGGTTATACTCGCAAAATCCATATAATGTACAAGTAGTATAATATGTATTATATGAGAGAGAGTAAATAAGAACAACAGCATTACCTGAAAAAAGAAAAAATTTATGAAATTAGAATTATTGTGCACTTAATGACTAAAAAAAATTTAACACGTTTTCTGATTAATAATTTTTTTTTTTAATTTTCGCTGAATTTTAACAATAAAAATTTTCTTCTGGTATACAAACGTACGAAAAAGCTGAAATATTTCACATTTGCAGTAATTTTCTCACTGTATGTGAATTGATTTCTAATGCCTCACACGCGCTTGACACAACACACACACTGTAGGCAGTATAGCAAAAAAATAAAATAAACCGCAAATGTCACACGTAAGCCAAATAATAAAGCGGAAAGCACAAATATGTGACAAGGTGGCATAGCTTTTTTCACAGTTATCTCATATATATAAAACATATGTGCCGCAGCGGCAAACGTGAGTAACAGACACAAACTGCTCTGTGTGGCAAGCGAACTTAACCCGCAACGTAATGTCACGGCAAGAATAATTCGTCAAAGCACGTATGCGCGCTACAACGATAACAACAAGTGCAATGATAACAGCAGCAAAGGTAGAAAATACAAGTATATACGAATTTGCTGAGAACATTGTGCCAAAAAAGGAGACAAGCCAAAAACCGCACTGAAATACACTGAAACGTGCTGAATCAGTTGATTTGGCATTTATTTGTAAGCTTCACGCTCTTGGCGTTATTTTTTATCGTAATTTTTATTTGTTATCCTGTGGGTGTTGCAATTAGTGACACATCAATATTGAGAGCTTTATTGGATGCAGATATATGTATGTACATATATAGCATACATACTCGTATATACACAAATCCATACGTATGTACATGTATAAGGCATAAATTAGAGAAAAGCACGTCTGAAGATTGTAATTTAAAAAGAAACTTAAAATTTTATAAAAAATTGTCAAAAAAGCAAAATAAAAAATTTAAATTTAATTAATTTGTAAACAAAATAATATTTTATAAAAAATAATCAAGGAATTAATAAAAATTTATTAATTCAAAAGTATCAAAAATTTAATTTTCTGCTAAAAAGATAATTTTATAAAAATTAATTTAAAAAAATTATTGGTATAAAAGGAAAGAACGACTTAAAATGCAATTAATCTGATAAAATAATTAATAATAAAAAAAATAAATTGTTATAAAAGAGAAAAAAGGACCAAAAATATAATTTAATTAATAAAAAAATTGTTTTATAAAAAATAATTAAGAAATTTATAGGAATCAATAATTAATATAAAAGCGAAAAAAGTAACAAAAATTTAATTTATTTGACTAAAAGATTATTTTATAACAATTAATGCCAAAAAAATATATTAAAAAGAAAAAGGACTAAACATGTAATTAATCTGATAACAAAATGATTTTATAAAAATTAATAAATAAATAATAATAAATTGTTATGAAAGATAAAAAAAGACCAAAAATATAATTTAATTCATAAAACAATAAGTTTAAAAAAAATATTAGGAAATAAAAAGAAATCATTAATTAATACAAAAGAGAAAAAAGCAATAAAAATTTAATTTATATGACTAAAAGATTATTTTTTAAAAATAATCAAAAAATTATTTTAAAAATTATTGTTATAAAAGAGAAATAGAACCAAAAATTTATTTTACATCATAAAAAATTGATAATGACCTGTTTTAAAAGGTAAATAATTTATTTACAAAACAAACTATTTTTGTTTTAAATTTTTTTTTAAATAAAGCAGTTAAAAGTAACAAAATATAAATTTGAACTTTTTTAATTAAATTAAAATTAGTATATTTTTTAATAAATATGTAACAAAAATGTATTTATAAGCATAAAGATTTGATTTTTTAATACAATTGTTTAAGAATTTTTTAAAATACTTTATTTTAATAGTTTACTGGATTTTCTATGTCTTTTAACTCAATTTTTCATATAACTAAATATAAAAAACGAAAAAAAAATTAAATAGTAAAAATTTGTCCATAAAAAATTACGCTGTTGGCAATGGTTTTACTACTTTATACTCGTATTATTTATTACAAAAAAATTTGCAAACTTAAAAAAAAATAAATAATAAGTAACAAAAATTAAAAATAAATAATTAAAAAAGTTTAATATAGAAGAAATTAAAAACAACGACAACACAAATGAATATCAAATTACTACACAGGAATTTAAACAAATTTTTTTTTGAAAATTTTCTAATATTACAAATTGCAAAGCTTTCGTAGTGAAACTTTACTTTTTTATATATTATATTACAAAAGCTTTCTAATTAAAACTTTTTTGACAATTTTTAAGTATTATTTATGAATAGGATTCGAGTTGTTTCAGGAAATGTTCGTTTGAATTTAAAAAAACATTTAAATATTTCTTATGTTTAAATAGCTGACTAATTGTTTTGAGAAATTGTGGCTAATGAACAAACAAAAATCATAATACATGTCAATTTAAACTTTATTATTATTATGTTTAATAAATACGTGAAAAAAAAATCTATTATAATTTTTAACTTATAATACTCAATATTTGTAAATTTAAAAACTTAAATTTTATTTTTTATATTAAATTATTATTTTAATAAAAATATAAATATTTTTTACTCTAATTTTTAACTGTGGCCTATTGGATTTATCATATCAATTTTGTATCTCCGAAGTAACGCCTTTTATATATGACTTAATTTTTTCATATTCTGCCTTTTATAACACCTTTTCGGATATTTTTCTTACCCGTGCCTCTTTTTCATTCTCTTTGCAGATATTAACTACTAAAACCATACGAACCCCAACAAATCTTATTTGTACGAATACTTTTGGAAGGCATTGGGGCAACTACAGAAACAACTTTCTAGATATTCGCACGAATATTATTTTAAACTGAAATAAAAATTCTACACTTGCAAAAAAAGCGAGAGCTCCACTTACTACAGCACCACTCCCCTCCCACAACTCTCGCCTCACCGGATAGCTGCTCGCAGTAGACACATCACGTGCATACAATGTTTCACATCTCCGCACAGGAGTCGAGACTAAGCAATGCGAATAAAAGTAAAACAACAACTAGCACAACATCAGCAACCACAACCACAATTACAGCAACACCACGCACGCATGGCAGCAACTCCAGCGGCGACCGGAACGCATGCCAAACCATCGATATACGCAAGTTGGCAGCGACAGCCGCTCAATTAGAGGCCGCCAGTAATGGGCAGCGTAGTGCCGTGGGAACAAAAGAAGCAGCAGCAGCAGCGACAACGTTGGTGGGAGCAACGCACACATCTACAGCGTATAATTGCAACAACAACGGCAGCAGCATATACAGAAGTGGCAGCAAAGGCAGCAACAGCAGTGGCGGCTATGCAGCAGCAACACGATCAAGGTTAAGAACAGCGGAGGACAACACAGCACCAAAAACACCAAATAATCTAACAACAATACCGACAACAACAACAGCAACAGCCAGCGATAACAAGAAATTACTTAAAATGCATTCCAACGCGACGCCGACCACGGAGAACGTTAACGCCGGCAGCAGCAGCAATAGCAATGCTGGCGGCGCAGTTGTGCTGAATATTGGCAACGCCGCGGAGCCGTTGCAGCGCCACGGCAGCGCGCATAGCAAATGCAGTACGGGCAGTGGCGGTGGCCAGCCGCGCATCGCACGTGGCAGTGGGAGCGCACGCAGCCGCAATAAGCAGAGAAAAACTAGTTCCTCAAGTGCCAAGGGTGCTGGCGGTGAAAGCACAACAAAAACTACAACAACAACTAACAACAATCCTACTAGCAATAAGTTAAGCGCCGGCAATGCCGAACGCGGCACGCCGCCCCCACCATATACAAGTCAGGCGCCTGCCAACGCGCGCAACTCAGTACAACGCTCGAGTAGCAAGCGCAGCACAACCAAAGCGGCTAATCAGCAGCAGCAGTCACAAAATAGTGGCGCGTCTGCACGCACAGCGCAACAAACTCGCGACGCGCGCCAATCGCAATCTTCATCGTCGCGCGAACACTCACGTTCACGTTCGCGCTCGCGCTCGCGTTCACAACAACGCAGTGATGAGGAGCGTGACGCCGCAGCAGCTGGTGCCGCTGCTAGGCAACGCCGTCGTCATGGCAGTCGTAACTCGTTGGCGAGCATGGAGCGTGAGCGCACCGCGGAGCGCAGTAAGAAGCGCATTGATGAGCACGCAGATGATGACTCCTATACGTCATCGTCCGGCGTGAGCTGCAATGGATCGTGCAGTTCGGATGATGGCGATTCGAATAGTACGACATCGAGCGGCGAGCCGAATTTGCCATATCCGGGTTTTCCGGAGATCTCTTTTCTTATATTATCGCAGGACTCGAGGCTGCGCAACTGGTGTCTACGGCTCATCACTAATCCATATCCTTTTCAATCAAAAAAAAAAAAAACCAAAAAATTACGGAATATAATTTGTTTTCAGCAAACATTTTTTAGTGCGGCTTTGAACAGTAAGTAATTACGTTTGCGTCTAAAAGTATGCAATGAAATTTTTTATGGATTAAATATAAGCTCATCAGCAGGGAAAAAATATTTTTCGCGCTATTATGCTCTTCTTATTTGTTTTCGCAACTTACACTACTGCATCAAAATGTAAAATGGTTCGAAATTCAAAAACTATTATTTTCACCCAATTATTTGCTAACTGAAACTAAGAAAAAGCAAACAGTATGGAAAAACACCAAACACAGATGCTTCACCCTTTTTTGTTGATATGCCAAAGGAAATCTTCAAATTTTTCCGTGCCAATTTTTGTCGTTGTACGCATTCAGCGATGAAGAAAGAAAGCAGAGCTCACACAAATCAAAGAAACTAAAGTAACTCAGTTTATCAAATGCGATTTTAGACAAGTGACTGAGCTAGAGCAAAAAAGTTGTTAGACAATGGTGAGAAAAGAAAAAACGATGGTTAAACCATCCAGATAGTTTCGATATTGCTTGATGGTATAAAAAGGAGGCAGATGATGTCAGTAAGTACAGGAGAGATCAAATCATATACAGGGAGATCCTATATATTAGAAGCGCACCCTAATAGATAATTTCGAAATTGCCTGTAAGACACAAGGAGTCATCATCGTGATAAAAACATCTCTAGGCTTTCAACGAAAACAAGCTAAATCTGTAGAAATTTCAGAAATATATCGTTTTACCCTACAAAGTTCGTCGTGAAAAGCTCTATAAGGCTTCTGAAAATTCCAACATTTTTTTTTTTATTTGGATTCCAAACGTTCTTAGTATTAAAACTGGAACTATACCTCTGAGCTCTGCGGCGTCGGTCAAACCGCTTGAAAATTGAGGCTTAGTTGGGTTAGGTTGGGTTAGGTTGGGTTCTGTGGCTGATCCCCAGAAAAGTATTACACTTAACTTAAGAAAAAACCCTTGGGAAGTCAGAAAAAGTTTTGCAGTTGGATAGTAAGCCTTCGAAAATTCGTATTTTACACAGTTGCCCCACTCCAAGTGAGATATGTTGATATCAAAAAAAAAGTAGTGCAATCCAAATATTAGTTCACGAAAAATGTAAGACATAATTCGGTCCATAATCATTCGAGAAGTTCTCTTTGAAAGAGACTTATTCGATGCAATAATTCTCGTTTAGCTTTTTCTCACGAGCAAGTCAAGTTTGTACTGATTTTTCGCAATTTTATCAAAATATTTTTTACAAGGTTTTCAATCGTTCCATCGAATATCTTTCGGAGTCTTTATTGTGGCTTATGCCTGTCATATTGAGTGAAAAAAAGGGCAGCACAAAAAGGTTAAGAAATGAAAAAGTTGCCATTTTTATCAAAAATGAGCATATCAAGACAACATTTAAAAAAAAATAAGCAGTTGGGAACGTATATACACAGGAACGAGAGAGTAGAGGCTGTAAAATATTACAATATAAAAAAATATTTAAAAATAAAAATGTTTCTATGAGAATGCAAGAAATTTGCCAACGCAGTGCAAATAAATGCTACAGCAAGAATTCATAGTTGTAGTATTTCAATAGAGTAAACAAATTCTCACAATGTGTCACAAATAAACGAAATAATAAAAAACGTTGCAAGCTGTAGCCGAAGCTATAATACACTTCACAGTTGAATAAAAGTAAATACAAAGATCTTTAGCTTGATTTTGCTCGGTCAGTTTGTATGACAGTTATATGCTATAGTGTTTCGATTCGAACCATCGGGAATTGTAGCGCTGCCTATGACAATAATCCACGCTAAATTTCGTGGAGATACTTGGTCAAATAAAAAAGTTTACCATACAAGTACTTGATGTTTATCGAATAGTTTGTATGACAGCTATGTGCTATAGTAAACCGATATGCTATAGTAAACCGATATCGACAAACGAGCAGCTTTTTGGAGAGAAATCTTGTGCAAAATTGCTAAACGATATCTCAAAAACTGAGGCACTAGTACGCTTATCTACAGATAGACTTGTCTAAATCAACTCAGCTCGTCACGCTGATTATTTAAATATATGCTTTATAGGGTCGCCGAAATTTCCTTCTGAGTGCTGCCAACTTTGCAGCCATGTTAAGAAACCCCGTACAGGGTATAAAAATATTATATATTTACCCTTACATGCGAAGAATCTGCAGTCATATACAATTTGTAAAGACCAACTGGCCGTTGACAACGATAAGCGCACATACATATGTATATGCATATGTATATTCTTTTTTGCATGCATACATATATATATATATATATATGTATGTGTGTGTTTGTGTTTGTGTCAAGCATATGTTTTTTGCAATAAATGCCATTGCCAGCAACTATTTCTCCTCTGCCATCGTTGCTGTTTTCATTGCTTGCACCGCTGACTGCTTTTTCAGCTTCACTGCCAACGACATACAAGCAACAACAACAGCAGCAAAAATGTGCCACAGCAACAAACTCCAGTCAGTTGCAGCGCATGAACTGTTGCTGGCTGTTGCTTCGTTGCGCTTTGTTACAGGTAACTGAGCGAGTTTTTTATGTAGCGGAAGCGGAAATAAAAATCAACCATAGTGAAATATGTTTATTTATTTTTATTTACATATATATATTTTTTTATTGCGTCGCGTGCACATATTTGGCGTACAGAGATTTTTAAATGCATACATACCTATTGTAACGGTATGCAAGCAATGCTGGAGCATAGCCCTTGCTCTACACAGCCATCGCTACAAATGTACGTGTGCATTTGCCGTAGCATACTTTTAGTGTATGAAATAGTTTAACGTATTTTATTCCGCTTTTTTAACGCTTGCATTTTATTTACCTTATTTATTACATTTGCCAGCATTTTTAGTTTGCGCTTTTCAATTTCTTTAATTTTTTTTTATTTTTTCTCCTTTAACATTTTTCCGCTTTCTGTTCAGATTTTCAGGTTTATTTAATTTCAATCGTTTCATGCCAAGGCCACTGCGTTAATTGGAGGATCTGTTGAGCATATTTGTTTGCTCTTTTCCAACTTTTCATTTTATTTATGACTTGGCTCGTACATTTAATTCAGTTTTATCTTTGACGGTGCAGTGATTTTAAATTGAAAATAAATTATTGTAAGAACTTCTTCACTTTTCATGCGGAGGAAAGCTCCGCCTAAGACACTAAAGTCGTTTTTTTATGTATAAATAATATAAAAAGGATACAAAAACAACAAAAAATGTTAACTTCAGCAGCAGCAAAGCTGAAATAACCTTCATAGATGCATTTATTATAGTATAGAAGGGTATAAAAATATCTTTTGGCTTGATTTTGATCGGTCTGTTTGTAGGGCAGCTATATCCTATAAAGATTCGATCTGAACAATTTGTTCGGATATTAGCATAACCTTGGTTAATGATCCTAAATTTCGTAAAATAGTATATTTTCAAATAAAAAATTTATACACACAAGGAATTGATTTTGATCGGTCTGTTTGTAGGGCAGCCATAAGCTCAAGTGACTCATTACTATAGTTAAAAAGCCTGCGAAGAGTTAAAATTTCTATTAGTCGCTCTGCAGCACTGATTCTATAACTTATTAGTACCAAACTCTCATCTAAACTTATGTACTATATACAAATTTCGTACATGTGGCTACGCCAAGCCTGCCATTTCGGCATCATTATTAAAATCTCGTAATATACCGTTATTACTACGAAATGTTGCAAGTCGTCTGCAGCGCATATAGATATTTTCCAGCTTAATGCACTTGAAGACACTCTAAGTACGCGAACATACGCACACAAATGCACACCAACAAGCAGCTTAACGAGCATGTGTGAGTGCGCTGCCTTACAAATTGTTGTCCATAACAAAATTTCAATTTGCCTTCACCAGCTGTGCCGCATGTCGCCGCATGCAGCATATTTAACAACCAAAACACAAATACATATTAAGAATAAACACAACAACAACAACAACTACTTGAGAAACTGGTAGACGAGAGCAAAGTGTTGCAGATTCCTACGTGGACAATGGCAAGAGACAGTGGCATGCAACCGGTGTAATATGTGTAACTAAGCATGTGCTTATATGCAGCATGAGCGCAACAATAATAACAACAACAATACAACACGTAGGATACTGAGCGAAACAAATCACGTGAAACGGTGGAGTCCTGTCACGCAGACACGCGCGCACTCGAAACTTAGCAATAACAATAACAAGCTAGATGAGTAGCAATTTCTAAGTAGTACTACAATAAAAATAGCAACAACAATAGCGTGTCAAAATATCTCGCATGCCACTTGTGGCAAGCAGCAAATCACACAAATGATCTAAACAAAGTACAACAACACAAAAACACTGTTATTTTTTTTTTTTTTGTTGGAAATTTATTCGCATCAAGCATGGATAGGATTTACGGTATTGTCACTTTGTGTTTACTTTGTAATTTCTTAACAATTCACGCAATTTTCTATTATTATGTATGCTTTCTTTATTGTTGTTGATTGAATTAAATTTTATTTCGGTGATGGTTTTTTGCGCATTCTGTTTATATCGGTCCAATGGAAGCAATTATTGTAAGAAGTCTCATGAAAATAAGTACGGCTAAATTGGAATAGGTTCAGTTGAGAAAGTTTAGGTTAGGCTAAAGCTAAGTTAAGTCATATTAAGGTTAAGTTAAGTTAAGGTTGGGTTAATTTAATGCTAAGTAACGGTTAAGTTAATTTAATGCTAAATTAAGTTAACTATAGGTTTAGTTAAGCTTCAATTAAGGTTAAGTTAAGGTTAAGCTAGGTTAAGTTAATAAAAGTATTGGTTAAGTTAAGGTCAATTTAAGTTGGAGAAAGATTTAGTTAATTAAGGTTAAGTCAAGGTAAAGTTAAATAAAGGCTAAGCTAAGTTAAATCTAAGTTAATTTAAGTTAAGGTTCAGTTAATGTTAATGTTAAGGTTAAATTAGGTTAAGTCACTTTATGTAATGGTTAAATTAAGGGCAATTTAAATTAAGTAAAAATTTAATTAAGTTAAGTTAAGTTCCAAATTAGATTTGTTTAAA